CCTTAGACGACGAAAAACTGAATCGGTATTGATGCGAGGTTATACGTTAATTGACGCGACTATAAATGGTTTGACAACCCATCAATCATCAGCGACACCTGACATGGAGCTTGAGTACCAGCATCGATGCAAGGCCTACCGCTTTGTATCCTATTCGGCTGTTGCCTTCTCGGTAGTTGCCAATTATTGGTGCCGCCACCACCCTGCCCATGGTGTATAACTATGTACACCATGTACGCCGCACGATGCACTCGGAACTCAACTACTGTCGCGTAAGTTGCATTTGCTTGAGGATTTTTTCAGAGACTTCTTTTTTTACTTCTTCTATTTTTCACAGTGTTTGCAATTTGAGTGATAATTTTTCAGACGTCGGCCCGTGATATCTGGTCTGAAGTCAACACCATGAAGACAAGTGGCAATCGTACCTGGGCCGGGGGGGGGGGCGGGTAGGCCCGTCAAGGCTGGTAATATGGGTCAGGCGATGGTAGTGTGATAGGAGGTGGCAACACTGGAAACACCGGTGGCGGTAACTTTGGCGGAAACGACTGTACCGCTTGCTGCTCTGGTGGAGGTGCTGGTCCAGCTGGACAGCCAGGAAACCCTGGACGACCAGGAAACCCCGGAGCTCCTGGAGCCCCAGGAAACCCAGGAAGACAAACTACTCAACCATGCCCCGTGTACACACCTGCTCCATGCAACCCTTGCCCAGCTGGACCACCTGGACCACCAGGAGCCCCTGGACGCCGGAGATCCTGGACGCGACGGAAACCCAGGAGGACCCGGAAACCCAGGAGGACCAGGAACACCCGGACCAAAGGGACCACCAGGACCCAGCGGAAACCCTGGAAGCCCAGGATCCCCAGGACAGCCTGGACAGCCCGCCAATTTTCCATACCAGCCAGCCCCGGAGCCCCCGGGCCAGCCGGAGCACCCGGCCCTGCTGACCACCGACAACGACAAGCCAGGAACATCCAGGAGCACCAGGTATAGTTCAAACTCTTTGTCAAATTCTGTTCGAAATCGAATTCGTCAATTTATTAGTATTTCAGGAAACCCTGGGCCACAAGGGGCCACCTGGAAGCAATGGTCAGCCTGGTGCACCAGGAAACCCAGGAACACCCGGAGACAGTGGCACCCCGGGAACACCTGGAGAACGGGGTATTTGTCCCAAGTACTGCGCACTCGATGGTGGTGTCTTCTTCGAGGATGGAAACTCGGTCGATAAAAAAATCAGATGTCATTAGGACATAAAAAATGTCATTAAAGCTCTTCTTTGGCAATGCGAACACACATAATTTGAACACAGAAGTGAATCGTCAGCGGCTACCTTTCTCACGAAGTAAACGCGTTTTGCTCCCCTCAGCGAGCTCGCAGATAACGTGTGTACAAAACCACTCTGGGCCAACATCAGGAAGGAGACAGAATGCTCAACAAAGAAAACTCAGCACAACCTCCAGGCGTGTACAGGTGTGGGCAGTAGCGGAAACAGTAAAGGACACGTCGCTTGATTATAAGACAGCGTGCGCAGACAACCTGACGCAGCGAAACCCTTTGTTGGCAGCAATGCCGGCAAAGTCCAAAAATCACACACGCATGAGCCACTTTCGCGACTCGAAAGTTCCTGTGAAAAGCGCCGAGGCCTCACAACGCCAGGACGATAAACTAGTTCCTCATTCATGAGGCTGCATTCATACCTTCTGACAGCAAGGAACTGACGAACTGAAGAAAAGCAAGACTGAAGAATTGACGAAAAGGGTTAGATAAGTGTCGATCTGAAGAAGTGCAGACATGAAGAATTGACGAATCGTGGAAACAGGTCGACACGTTTCTAAGCCTACCAGTGCTGCAATTGATCAATTCTGCAATTCTTCGTTTCGTCAATTCTGCAATCTGCCTGACCTTCAGTGCTGCATTTCTGCGACTTTTCACTTGCACTGTCACAAGATATGAACGCGTTCTGAGGATCCACTTTTATCATTTAGTTCTGCGATCGCCTCGACCATTGATAGGGTAGCTGAAACGCATTGACGCCTTTCCTCCGCATGTTTCTTGCATAAGCAAGTGAAGACGCATTTTTCAAACATGAATTACTTGGCGCTGTTTATCGTACCGGGGAGGGATGAACTTTTGTATCATAATTGGCTTCCGTGGTTTCGGTTTACAAATCTCACTCTGGTGAAACTTGTGAACGCTTGTGAAGCTGGAGCAAGATGGTCTAGCCACCATCCTGAAGCCACCCATCTCAACTCGAAAAAAGGGTACCTAGATGGGTTGGAAATTCTGTGAAAAGCAGAATGACCCCCTCCCCGTCATCGATTAACAGCGCCGAATTACTTTTTTGGCTCCCTTCTTTTTTGCAGCCGTTTATCCAAAGTGAGGAGATCGCGTGAACTTGCACAGCCTGAAGAGGGGAGCTCCGCCATTGCTAGTCAATGAATCACTTTGAACTCATGAGAACATCAACCGTTGGATGAAAACGAAGGAACTAATGGCATGAAGATAAATCCAAAGCACAACGCGATGAGTCACTTCATGATTTGGGGACATCGTCTCGAAGCTGATCGCCTCCCTTCTGGCAATTACTCGTGGGAGTACTCGAAATATCGTGAAATACTAATTAGTGGTTCGCAGCTACTGAATTTATAAAAGCCAGTACTTGACTGAAGGCTTCATGTGAAAAAGGATGACGAAATGCAGCAAAGTGCCGACGTGCAACGCGTGGAGGAATTGGTGTGGTAGAATGAAAAAGTTTTTCGACAGAACCTACGCACTGCTTTCAAGCGATCAGCATCGTTGTGTGAAGCACATCGGGTGCTGGGGGGGGGGGATCGTACTTGGCCGGTGGGGAAGGAGGGGTTCCAATAAATACCGTTTTGCAGCAGACTTTTGTATTTTTTTGAATGAATTCTTTTCTAGTTCCCTTATTTTATGCAGCCGTTTATCCGAGGTGAGGAGATCGCGTGAACTTGCACAGCCTGAAGAGGGGAGCTCCGCCATTGCTAGTCAATGAGAAACATCCCTTTGAACTCACGAGAACATCAACCGTTGGTGAAAACGAAGGAACTAATGGCATGAAGATAAACCACAGCACAAGGGTGGTACACGCAGGGTTTGCGAGCACCAAACAGCACAAAAAGGTCCAGGTTTGATGGAGCGGACGGAAAGCTGCAGAGGACCCGGATGTAAGGAAGACTACAAAATATTAAAACAATTGATTAGCAATATCAATAGTTAGCATGAACTCGTAAGTACGTAGATGACTAAATAATACATCTCAAACAGATTCGTGCGTATCGACCTTTCCAAACCCTAAACAAACATCTGCTTGCATGGACAAAAATCACCTAAAATCAGAATTTACACCTTTCCATACCTCTGCATAGAAGCGTGGCATGGCGCATACCCATATCAAGTCGATCGATGATAAACA